TCCAGCTGCCCACAGATGGGTCCTAGGTCTCCAATCTGCCCTCCTCATTCACAATGATATGAATTTTTGTTCTTTGATGCCTGAAACCTGATCCCTTTGACAACTAGTGATCACACAGGCTTATGTGCTTCTTCCATTGGGCTTTGTTGTTACTGAGATAGATGGCCATTTGTCTACCTTCAAGCCTTTAAGACCCCAGATGCTACATCCCTTGATAGTTGGGCACCATCAGCTTTCCTCACTACATTTGCCTATGTACCCATCTGCCCTCAGCAATTGTATCAGGAAGGTGAGCACACAATTCTATGATTTTTTGTTCTTTGATACCTGATCCCTTCGACACCTCATGATCACACAGGCTGATGGGTTTCTTCCATGTGGGATTTGCTGCCTCTGAGCTAGATGGCTGATTGTTTCCCTTCAAGATCCCAGATACTACATCTTTTGATAACCGGGCACCATCAGCTTTCCTCCCCACATTTTCTCATGCACACATATGTCCTCAGTGATTGTGTCAGGAAGGTGAGCATCACGGAATGCCAATTTAATAGAACAGTGTGTTCTTCCATTGAGGGAGTACTTGAGTGGAGGGCCAATGTCCATCTGCTACCTTAATACTAAACCTATACATATATGCACATAGACATATTTCCCCATCATCATATATAAATATATTTACATATGTACATGTCTTTACTTAGACATCTATAAATGCCCGACATCTCCCAGTTTCCCCCTCCACCTCCAATCAAATTCCTTCAGTTCCACCATCACGCTCAGTCTTCATTTGGGTTTCAGTAATTTCTCTCGGTTACATTGTCCCTGATCAACCCCTACCAGGCCTCTTGTACCCTCCTTGCCACTGATTTTGGAACACTTGTGCTTTAGTATTGATGGAAACCCGATGATTTTCCTCTCCTTTATTGTGATGAGGTTTATTACTTTTCCTTGAGTTCAATCTTGTGGGAGGCCCATTATTGACGATGCCAAGTCATCATGGATTGACAGTGGTTTTAGTCCTGTTACCTCCCATTTTTCTCTGACCATATGTTGCTACTAAATGCCACCAATTGCTGACTGATTACAGTGATTGTTCTCAACAATGTCCTTAGGTATAAATTGTGCTAAAGGCAATCTGATCAATTTCTAGGTCATTTGAAGGAATTGTTTCTGAGTTCATTGTTTGATATTTTTACCTGATCCCAAGAGACTTCCTCCCAGGTGTCTTATTCCCTTCTTTCTAGCTGGCTATAGTTGATCCTATCTCCTAATTGCCTTTCATCACAGCTACCACTGTTTTTGAGAGTATCTTTAGGCTAGAACTCCTGCATGTTTTTCAGCAAATGTAGTGAGTTCCTTAGGGATAAGCTTAGGAGCTATTTGCTTTAGGTCTTGGTCCCTTTCCCTAGCAACCTCTATGAGGCAAGACTGAAGCTAGGATCATAGACAATGAAAAGCTATCTTCTTTCTGACTATCACACCTGCTCTAGCAGCTGAGAAGGGAAAGGCAGCAGGCTGAAACCCTCTCAATTTGCCTCTCCTGGAGTGGATCCACTGTTCCATGAGCCTGTGAAAGGGTGATTTCATGCCAGCCACCCCATGGTAGAGATTCCAACCAAGACTCGGGAAGATAGGCTCTACTTCTCAACCATACTTTTCTGGTAGTTAGCCTTGGCATCAGACCGCTGGTGCAGATGAGAAACACGGCTGCTCTTCTCCTGGGAAGGTAAGGGCTGAGCGACCCTCATGTTCTTGGGAGAAGATGGACTTTTGGGCACACTGAACTGAGGAGAGTGTGGAGGAAGTTGTCTTATTTCAAGTCCTGCAGACCTTTTATTAACTGAAATGTCACATGTTTTCTTCAATCGATTTCTAAATTTTCTGTTGAAGCTGAAGACAAATTCCAGGGGTTTTAAATGGTTGTCTTAACACAATTTTCTGCAATTTCACTTGAGATCAGGTCTGCCAGGCTTCTCATGTGGTCATGCCAGAAGCGAATCTCCCAATTTTAGATGTTCATTCATTCAAAATGATTAATTTTAAAAGGAATTTTAAAGTATAACTCGGACTGCTCTTAATTAAGGCTATAAAATTGCATCTTGTCTTTGTCCAAATTTCTTTCGGAGTTGTATTCCAGGCATTTAGTACATCTTGCATTCAAGGCTGCTCCCAGACTCAGGTGAGTTCTAGTTCTTCTGCTTCTAAGCTTAATGGATCACCTGCTATTGGTTTTTGTATTTAGTCAAAAAGAAAAGCAAATTCCCTGTATTAGTTATAAATATAAACATGACATGATCTACTCATCATAATGATTTATGATATATCATATATTTATATGATATATATGAATGTGCATTATACATAATATATTGATTTTTCTCATACATATGTTTCACAAAGGAATTTTAAGCTGTAATTATTTGATAGGTTTGTTAGCAGCTATTCTCTACTTATTGATATTAGTCCTAAAGTTATATGGCAAAGAAATAGACATTGTGCTGCCTGGGAATACTGACTCTCATGAAGACATTTCTTATTTAGGCTCATTGTACAGCTGTCCCTTTGTTTTCATCAATGTTAATTTTACTTTGAACAACGCTTTCTATTCCCTTCAGGTCATGAGAATTCCCAAGATGTTTACACCAAAGACCGACTATGTCGATGATATATCAAGTGGTCTCTGAGAGCTAATATTAATTTTGGAGCACTAATTTTATCCCAATAACAACAAACATCAAAAGATAAAAGATTGAAAATGAGATATATGTAGCTGAAGAGATTAATTTCTGATTTTTTTTTCATCAGGTAAATGGGTAATATAATAATATAGATAGTTTGCTGAAATACAAGATTTGTATCTCTTTTTTCTGGTTCAGAAACTATTGAATATATCTTCAATATATTTGGGACTAATTTTAAGAATAAGAATTTAGAACACTTTTTCATCCTTCGTGGGTTGTTTTAGAGTTCTGCATAATACGTGCTTTATTGCATCAAATCTGACTCAACAGCACCTTACAACGTCAACAACAAATTGATTTATGGAAAAATGCCTTTATTCAAAATGGGTAGCATATGTACCTCAAAAGTAAATTCTGGATTCTGGATTCACAATTTCCTTGGGATGAATGAATCTGCCATATACTTTCTGGATTCTTTTTTTTTTTTTTTTTTAGGCAAAATGATAGCCATGCTTTTATAGATAGATTAATTATTTTAACTTAGTTAATTATTAGATGCTTAAAATAACTGTTTTAACTTATAATTTAGCAAGTCACCCTATGACCACTGTAAAAAATATAGGTAAAGCATTATTAACAAGAAAGTATTATCGTTAGATGACTCATTCACTGGTTTATTCGTTTGTTGAACTCACAGAGGCCAGAATTCATTAATGAGGTGCTCTATCTCTGTCTACAGGGAATTTATAGTCTTTGGAAGAGTAATAGAAAGGACAGGAAAAAATCACTTGAAAAATAATGTCATAAGCATTATATCATATGTTTCAAACATAATAACAGATCTATTGTGGTTTGGGAGAAAGAGGAAACTATCCTATGGAAGTGGTATATGAATTGTGGTATAGAATGAGAAGCTCTTCGCAGAATAAAAAGTACATTCATCTATTCAGTCATAGAAACACTAATGGGCAAAGCCAGATTGGTCCATGTATTTCCTTCATGTTAGCTGGAGAGGGAGGTTAAGCAAGGATGAGCAGGGAAAAGGTAGATCACTCAAGAAATAAGTCTGACTATTTATTGTGAAGGGAATATCGTTAAACTATTTAGGAAGGAATTGCAACGAATCCGGTGAGTTTCATAGAGATTGCCTTTTCTCCTTTCCATCTTTCTTTTTGCTTATTTCTCGCCCCCCACCAGTATATTTGTAATAAATGTGTCACTGAAGACTCCAAGTCCATTCAGTTTTACTTTCCTCCTTTTTCAGCTGCTCCAATCAACATTTCGATTTGGGAGAGAAGGGAGCTGGAGGGTTTTTGTTTAGTTTTGTTTCATGAAGCAATTTTTATTTTTAAAAAATTCATTTACTTTTATATCCTGTTCAACCTTCCATTATTTTCCTCCAATCCCTTTCTTCTCCCTATTCCCACCCTGTAATTTCTGTCTTTCTTTTAATTTCATGTTTTCACTACTGGTCTTTATCCTCTCTTTTGTAATCAACTCCATCAATAAACATCTCTCTCTATATATGTAAAGCACAGTATTGGAAATACAAGGTGCACTATAGACTGAACCTCCTGTTGGGAATTATTTTTTTCATCTATTAGTGAAGTGTTGTTTTATATAATTTTCAACACATCTGTAGATTTTCTTCGTTTAAATATTGTGAATATCGTATATCTCCTTTGTATTTGGAAATTGACATTATTTTCTTAATAGATGTTAGTATTTTAAAGACATCTGAAGTACAGAAAATAAAATTCTTATGAATTCAAATTCAACTATAGTCATATTTTTCTAAATTAATGATTAAAACTTTGTTTTTCTCTTCAGATCTCTCTTGTAGAGATCAATAACTACACAGTATTTCATATTTAAGCGCATTGTAATACAATTCTAATACTTAAATTTTTTTATATAATTCTTTATCATTCCTATTGAAAGAGTAGTGAAATGAACCTATGAACCTGTGAACATATAAGATATAGATGTATATTCAGTTATGTATCTGCATACACACATTTTTAAATATAAGCAGTGCTTGTTTCTGTTAGATTTTGGTACCCGATTCATTAATTTAACTCTGAGGAACTTCTGTCTAGATTTGAATATTTTAAATTCTTATATGCATTATTAATTTTCATTACAACCAATAATTATTATAATGACTTTTATACACAAAGGTCGTAATCTCTCTTTTTAAAATTGTTTTTAAACAAAAAAGCCCACTGTATTAACATAGAATTTTCTTAATGATTGCGATATGCATGTGTTTAAATTAGCTTCTCATATTTTTTTAAAAGGTGAATAGTTTTTCAAAAATATTACTTTGCAACTGAAAATCTTTATTTGGAATTAGAACACTAATTTCAAGTATAATAATCTGTATTCCTACTTCTTGATATATTGCCTCTTTTTTAACCATCAGTCAGTCGCATTAATTGTCTGAGTCTCTCTTGTTCAACAAACACCACCACCACCACCACCATTTTACTGGATTTCATAAAATTCTCCATCCAATGTCCTTATGATGGGGCCACCTAGCATCCCCCTGGTAAAGATTCCTTTTGCCCACAACTGTTGTTTCTTCATGCTTCTGGGCTTCTGCCATGCCGCTTTCTCTGCCTCCCTTTCTCTTCAGACTCTTCCTCCAGGAACTAACTCCGGTGGTCTTCATCAGACAGCTCTTAGCACAGCCGTCATCTTCCAGAACCAGGTGAAGGATCCTTCCTGTGAGTGCTCAATACTCTGTTTCCACTTTGTTCCTTATATCACACTCCCTCATTTATACTGCTCTAGTTGTGTGTGTAATTGTGTAATATCCAGCTTCACTAGTGGACAGCAGGAAGATGCGAGAAGACATCTATGTCTTATCACAGAATGTGACACGGAGCTTGGTTCATAGGAAAGAGTTCAGGGAGCTGATTGGTGAAAACTTGCTAAATGAATAAACTGATGCATTTCTTTTTCCAAAAGACTATTGTAGCTATTGATAAAGATGTTTCTTCAGTATCAAAATTTAAAACCAAATGGTGCATGCTTCTTTCAACAGCTCTGGTTCACCCTTTATAATATTTCTCTTTGTTCCTTTCAGATAACAACAACAAGCAAATGAATAAAACAAATTCTTCTGTGGTGTCTGCATTTGTGTTGCTGGGACTTTCTAACTCTAGACCAATGCAGCATTTTCTTCTGACTTGCGCTACCATTTTATATACATCAATATTTCTAGGAAACCTCATTGTTATGTTTACAGTGACTCTTGACCGTCATTTACATTCTCCCATGTACTTCCTGTTAGCCAACCTATCATTCATTGATTTGTGTCTTTCTACTCTAACAATTCCTAAAATGATCTCTGACTTGTACTCTGGGGAAAATATCATATCATTCCAGGGGTGTGTCATCCAGATTTTTTTTATTCATGTACTGGGTGGATCTGAGATGGTGCTGCTCATCTCCATGGCCTTTGACCGATATGTGGCCATATGTAAGCCCCTCCACTACCTGACCATCATGAGTCCACGGATGTGCATTTGGCTGCTAGTTAGTGCTTGGGTCGTCGGTTTTATTCATGCAGTGGCCCAGCTAGCATTCGTTGTCCACTTGCCTTTTTGTGGCCCTAATGAGATTGACAGCTTTTACTGTGATCTACCCTGGTTTATCAAACTTGCCTGTGCAGATACTTATAGACTAGAGTTCATGGTTACTGCCAACAGTGGGTTCATTTCTCTCGGATCTTTCCTCTTCCTGATTTTCTCCTACATCTTCATCCTCATCACTGTATGGAAGCATTCTTTGGGTACCTTATCTAAGGCTTTCTCTACTTTATCAGCTCACATCACTGTAGTGGTTTTGTTCTTTGGACCATGCATCTTTATCTATATGTGGCCATTCCCCCCAGTGCCAGGGGATAAATTTCTTGCCATTTTGGATTACATGATTACCCCCCTTCTGAATCCTGCCATTTACACACTGAGGAACAAGGACATGAAGATAGCAATAAAGAGACTGGGTAGTCAATTCCTGGATTTGAAAAGATTACCTAGCTAGAGGAGAGTAATATTGCTTTTCGTACTTTGAAAATATTTCAAGTAACACAAATCCTTAAATAATTATACAGAGATAGGACCTTATCTGACAGATAGTTCAAGTGTTTGATAATAAACTGCATTATTGGAGCAAGTATATTACTCATTGTAAACTGTAGAGAAATTATTAAATCAAGACAAAAATGGTGTTTGTTCTTTTCCTCTATTTATGGAAGTTGTCAAGGATTTCATTTTATTTAGAACTACAATCAACCCCATGGAAGCAGCAAAGAAATTAAATGGCATATTTGGAAAATATGCTGCAAAGGACTTCCTTAAAGTGTTTAAAAGTAGAGATGGTACTTTGAGAATTAAGGTGTGCCTGACACAACCTCTAGTATTTTCAATGACTTCAAGTGCATGCAAAAGGTAGACAATGAATAAGGAAATTGAAGAAGAGTTGATGCCTTTGAATTATGGTGTTGGTGAGGAATATTTAATAAACTGTGGACAGACATAAGTCTAGGAAATTTCTTTTGGAAGATGGATAGGCAGAATGCTCTTGTGGGCTTACTAATTTTTGGAGAAGCAGAGAATTTCCTCTTTCCACCATGAAGGAGCTGCTGATCGAGTGGTTAACAGTTCAGACTTGAAGGTCAGCAAAAGAGAGGAAAATCCTTAATCAGACAGATCAACACAGTGGTCTTAAATCTTGTTCATCTTTTGAGATGCATTTGCGGATAGTACCTAATGAGTTTCACATTCCATCCATAATAGGATGAGTGAGTGTGTGTACAAATGTAACATTAATCTTCAAAGATTCTAGCAATCTGAAATCTATGTGACTATTTTATACATCAGAATCATGATCATGGGACTTTATTGTCCCTTAGGAGTGATGTATTTTGGAGAACGATGGTTAGTACATTAATCAGACATTTGTTTATGCTTTCGTCAGGTTTAGTCATGTTCAATTATGATTTATATTAAGTATTTCAGAAGTCATTTAAAGTGGCTTACAATTGTGGAACACATGTAACACAGAACTATTTAAAGTTAGCTTTGGGGGATTTTAGGAGAAAGATTCTAAGAATATTATGGTCATAAGGATTCTAAAATTGAATATTAAATTTAGCTTCAGGTTTCTCTGTGGGTAAAATCAAAAGATAACACTGGTTTATGTACGCTTTTATTTCAATAAAACTAATGTCCATGAGTAAGAAAACAAACAAACAAACAAACAAACAAAAGACAGGTGAACACAGTGGCTGCAACAATGGTCTCATTCATTTCTACACTTATGAAAATAGCAAAATACTAGGTAGCATATCCTTCTGTTTTCATGGAGTACTCTGAATTGGAGCCAATTAATTACACTTAACAACAACAACAAATTATGGATTAGAAAATTCATATCAAAAGTTCAATTGGCTCTGAGTATATTTATTCCTTGAAAGAATATAACCTATGTTGCATACTGCTTTACGTTTTATGTCCATTGTCTTACTACTTAGTTTATAAAATTATCTGAGTTACTCATTCTAAAAAAACAACTATTTTTCTGAAAGGAGGGAAGATGGCCGACTATATTAGGTAGCTCATGCCAGGAGCTCTGAAGAGATCGGTGAGTGGGGAGAGTTTGGGGCGGAGTAGGGGTACCAAATTTGTTTGATTCCTAAGACCACACAGAGCATCTCTTGGACCCAGAGGTGGACTCCCATCCATAGCCAGTGCCCCACGTGGACACCCCGGGTCTCAGGTGCAGTGCTCCCGCACCTGCTCATCTGGACCTGTGCCACAAAGCAGCTAGGTGCAC